CCCCAAAACCCCAAAACCCCAAAACCCCTGAATGAATGATCTAAGAAATATAGTTTTATCTCTTAAATATTGAGAAATTAATAAGGTTCGGCTTAGAGGTAATTGAATACTGTCTTAACTTAAATTTCAGTAAGAGGTAGTGTTTATGGATCAACACATTTCAAATTTAAGCTTAGTTACTCTCAATCGAAAATAGTTGTTCTTCCTCTCTTGGAAAACATCATATTTCTTGAAGGAGAATTGTTCTCCTCATTTTGAAGAGCTGTTTAGGCTTTGAGATCTTGATTGACAAACTGCATTCCCATATCTTCAAATTCAATTAACTGCTGCACGAATCCTTGGTTAGGATCAACTACATGCCTCTTTGCTCTTGTGAATTCTAAAGTCTAAAAGGATAATAAGATATTTATATAGTATTACATCTTCAAATCCAAGTTTAAACATCTTCATTATGTACATGATAACACATGATGCAGATCTTGATACTCCCATAGCACAATGTACTAGCACTACATTTTGATTATAGGAGAGTCTGTTGAATAGATCAATCTGCTTATCGATTTTGTGCGCGACTAGTTCTTCATGCTTAGGTACTCTTTTCATTTTGTTATTTAAAAAATCAGCTTGGATTGGTGTAAGTAAGGCTGTTGAGTTAATTATGCTTCCTGATCTCTCTCTTAATTCCTTTGAAGTTAATACACTATTGTCTACCAATGCATTATTCCTTTTAGATTTATCTCTAGTCAGAAGCTTGCATTCATTAAAAGCTTGATCCAAAAATTAGAACGCAACAGGGAATGATAATTTGATTGGAACACTTGATGTGTCCTCAATGTTAATTTTGAGATACTCAATATCAATTTCGGCTAAATAAATTTGGAGTAAATTGAAACTAAAGTCTTACTATCATCTTCGAAGAAATTCGGTATGTTATTCGAGACATTCAGTATATGAGTGATTTTAAGATTTTATAAGATAGTCTTGTCTTACGCATGGATATGGTCTCCAAGATAAAGTCTCTTCTCTAAAATTTCACTAGGATATGTTGTTGCAATAAAACTATAGAGTAAAATTTTAGCGATAATGATGAATTACTTTTTAGGATAGAGGAACTGAGTCCTGAATTTACAGAAGTGCGGATACTTTTGCTTGAATGTGTTGAATCCATTGATGCAGAGATTCATTTCTCTGATCCTTTCATTTTTCAATGCTTTGAAAAGAAGCAATGCATTTCTTATAGATACCAAATTTTCGATAACATCCTTATTTTCAATATACTTGTTAATGTAATTTTCTAATGATTAAGGATCAAACATCTTTGGCAGCTTTTCTAGATAATGAGTGATATCATTTTGAGATGCTATGATGAAAACATACATTCTTCTTCTTGCTTCAAATAGTTCCTTCTTTACCTTGTTCTTGATGATGTTGTCAGATATGTTTTTAGGATCCCATTTTGTAAAAAATTCGTCATTGCAAAGGTTAACTGGGAAATTAATAGCATTTTCAAAATGACTCAAATGGAATTGAAATTAAGACCTAGTATCTAAAATCAGAACTTTGCCTTATAGGTTTTGCACTTAATTAACAATTTACTAAACATTTGTAAGGGTAATCTTATTATCGCTTCCCAAAAACTTTTTGCATTCTTCATTTGCTTCAGGCTTCAAAATTTCAGGTAGTTACTCCTTCACATCAAATGATTACACTTTTTATAAGATTGATTCAAGTTCCTCATTCGTGTATTTGGTTGAGAATAGCTTCTTAATCTTTGCTTTTGATTTCTTTACTGAAGATGGATCCATTTATATTTTGCAAATCTTGATATTAAAAATGTAAGATCTATCAAATAAATTATTGAAAGATAAACCCGATCAAAATTTGGAATAATATTTAATTTTTGAACATACATGTATTTAAAATATGTTCATTAGATCCGGCCTGTCGGGGTTTTGGGGTTTTGGGG